GCCTCAAGTGATCTGCCCGCCTTGGCCTCCCAAAGTGCTAGGATTACAGGAATGAGCCACCACACCTGGCCCATCCACTCATTTTTGCTTTATTTCAATACTTATTACTATTCTGATTATCAGTAAAATTTCTGCTAGGAACACCAGTGGATTTATCTTATCTCCCCTGACTTGTTTCCACGGGACCTCCCATTCCCACTTGATTTTGAGGATTGAAGATAAACTGGGGGAGAATTATCTAGCAGCAAAATACTGCTAATGTCTTTAATTATTTTCTTGTTTTCCAACATATATTTTACGTCAAATTCTGTGTTCAAATCTAAATATACCAGTCTTGTCAAAGTCAGTCTCCAACTTCCAAATTCCTTAATTTGCCCCATTAATAATCATAACTCCTATTAGACTCATATTTTATTTCTCTAATTTGTTTTTGTTTTTGTTTTGAGACGGAGTTTCATTTTTGTCGCCCAGGCTGGAGTGCAATGGAGTGATCTCAGCTCACTGCAACCTCTGCTTCCTGGGTTCAAGCGATTCTCCTGCCTCAGCCTCTCGAGTAGCTGGGATTAAAGATGCACACCACCACGCTGGCTAATTTTTGTATTTTTAGTAGAGACGGGGTTTCACCATTTTGGCCAGGCTGGTCTTGAACTCCTGACCTCAAGTGTTCCACCAGCTTCAGCCTCCCAAGGTGCTGGGATTACAGGTGTGAGCCACCGAGCCCAGCCTATTTCTCTAAATTTTAAAAGTGTCCTTTCTTGCCCTGGATTTCAAAAAGCCATCAGTACCGTCATGAGAAGTTCCTCCGCCACACTCATATAGTCAGGTACCTGCTCAGCATATATTACACTTCTCTCTTTTAGGAGAATTCCTGATTTTATTGCCCCTCCCCCTGCAGCTGTGGGTTCCAGGGAATGCTAACTCCACCCTGATCCCAGGGGCAATGGTGGCAATCTCCATTTGGTTTAAGCCAATTTCAACATTCCATGACAGGAGAAAATATGTGACTTAGACCTTTCTTAGAAATCTGAATCTTCTCCCTCCTACTCAATATGAGCAAAAAAGGATGAGGCCACAATTAGCTGACAGCCACTTTATGATGTTATTAATGGCAGAGAAGACAGAAAGAAGAGGTTCCTGGTGTCATCATTTAGCCATTGGATCAATCAAATGTTAAGCCACACCTACTCTTGATTTTCCATCCAATACATTTACTTTTCTTTTTTGTGTTTAATTAAAAAGATTAAAAAAATTAAGGAACAGGAACATGAACCCTGGACCCTCAGATTAAAAGTCCGATGCTCTACCAACTGAGCTATCTGGGTGGTTTACTTTTTTTTTTTTTTTTTTCCTCTTATATTTTAAAGCAGTTTTAGGTTCATAGCAAAATTGAGCAGAAGGTAGAGATTTCCCATATACTCCCTGTGCCCCCCAAGACATGCATAGTTCCCTCACCTCCACTATCAACATCCCCCACCAGAATGGTCCACCTGTTACAACTGATTAACCTTCACTGACATATCATTATCACCCCAAATCTCTAGTTTGCTTTAGGGTTCACTCTTGGTGATTGTTCTACATCTATAGTTTTGGACAAACATATAATGACATGTATCCACCATTATAGTATCATATAGAATAGTTTCACTGCCCTAAAAATTGTCTGTGTTCCAACTATTCATCCTTCCCTTCCCACAACCCCTGGCAATTACTTATCTTTTTACTATCTCCAATAGTTTTGCTTGCTTGCTTGCTTGCTTGCTTCCTTTCTTTCTTTCCCTTCCTTCTTTCCCTCTTTCTTTCCCTTTCTCTTTTTCTCTTTCCTTCCTCCTTCCTTGCTTTCTTTTTCTTTCCTTCTTTTCTCTTTTCTTTTCTTTTTTTTCCTTCCTTCCTTCCTTTCTTCTCTTTCCTCTTCTTTTTTTTTTTTTTTTTGAGACAGAGTTTCGCTCTGTCACCCAGGCTGGAGTGCAGTGGTGTGTGATCTCAGCTTACTGCAACCTCTGCCTGCCAGGTTCAAGCAATTCTTCTGCCTCAGCCTCCCCCTGTAGCTGAGACTACAGATGTGCACCATCACGCCCCGCTATTTTTTGTATTTTTAGTAGAGACAGGGTTTCACCATGTTGGCCAGGCTGGTCTTGATCTCCTGACCTCAAGTGATCTGCCTGCCTTGGCCTCCCAAAGTGCTGGGATTACAGGCGTGAGCCACTGTGCCCGGCCTATATTATATTTCATTAAAAAGCTTTTTAAATAAACTGACATGGAGGGCCAGGCACGGTAGGTAGCTCACACCTACAGTCCTAGCACTTTGGGATTAGAGGCGGGAGGATAGTTTGTGCTCAGGAGTTCGAGACCAGCCTAGGAATCAGGGTGACACCTCCTCTCTAAAAATAAATATTTAAAAATTAGCGCCACATTGGTGGTGCGCTGTCTGTAGTCACAGATACTCCAAAGGCTGAGACAGGAGGATCAGTTGAGCCTGGGAGGTCGAGGCTGCAGTGACCCGAGATCGAGCCACCGCTTTGCAGCCTGGATGACAACGACCCTGTCTCAAATAAAAACAACAACAACAAGCAGGCAGGGCGCATCGGCTCACGCCTGTAATCCCTAGCACTTTGGGAGGCTGAGGCGGGAAGATCACTTGAAGTCAGGAGTTCAAGACCAGCCTGGCCAACATGGTGTAACACTGTCTCTGCTAAAAATATAAAAATTAGCCGGGCGTGATGGCGCGCGCCTGTAATCCCAGCTACTCAGGAGGCTGAGGCAGGAGAATAGCCTGAACCCGGGAGGCGGAGGTTGCAGTGAGCCGAAGCGCCACTGCACTCCAGCCTGGGCGACAGAGTGAGATTCCCATTTCAAAAAAAAAAAAAAGTTAAACAAAACCTTCCATGGAACCCATGAATGGCTGGAATTTGGCTTGATCTCATTCACCTCTGGTTTCACCACAAATCGATCATCCAACAACTTTCATTCCAACAACCGAGGGTGCTGTGAGGCAGAGAGGCTTTCTAAGGGGTGGGTTGGGCGCCACACCTTGCGCGCCCCGGGGCCCGAGGAGACGATCCTGGAGAGCAGCCTGGCTACTTTTGCCTCAGACGAGTCCAGAGCGCCGGGTTAACCAGTCTGAAGTCCCAAGCGCTTTCTGGGACTGCTCAGCCACCGGCAGCTCCCGGCACCAGGGGACGCCGGACGCCCTCTGGACATTCGGCGCGGTTGCCACGATCTTGGACGGGCCTCGGGCCTCGACCTTTGGATTCCCCGCTCCGGCTCCAAGATGTCAGCAACGCTGATCCTGGAGCCCCCGGGCCGCTGCTGCTGGAACGAGCCGGTGCGCATTGCAGTGCGCGGCCTGGCCCCGGAGCAGCGGGTCACGCTGCGCGCGTCCCTGCGCGACGAGAAGGGCGCGCTCTTCCGGGCCCACGCGCGCTACTGCGCCGACGCCCGGGGCGAACTGGACCTGGAGCGCGCGCCCGCGCTGGGCGGCAGCTTCGCGGGGCTCGAGCCCATGGGACTGCTCTGGGCCCTGGAACCCGAGAAGCCTTTTTGGCGCTTCCTGAAACGGGATGTAGAGATTCCCTTTGTCGTGGAGTTGGAAGTACTGGACGGCCACGACCCCGAACCTGGACGGCTGCTGTGCCAGGCGCGGCACGAGCGCCTCTTCCTCCCTCCGGGGGTGCGGCGCGAGTCGGTACGCGCGGGCCGGGTGCGCGCCACGCTCTTCCTGCCGCCAGGTGAGCTGGGATGCTGGCGGGAGGTGTGAGCGTCAGTGGCCTGAGTCTCCGTTGCTTTCTTTCCAGGGCTGATTTAGCACTGATTTGGTTCCGGAGCAAGGTCAGAGAAGCTAGCATTGACTATGTCAGTGGCCACTCCACCAAAATAGAGGATTTGGTACTGGGCATGGTGTCTCACGCCTGTAATCCCAGCACTTTGGAGGCCGAGATGGGCGGATCACTTGAGATCAGGAGTTCGAGACCAGCCTGGCCAACATGGTGAAACCCCGACTCTACTGAAAATACAAAAATTAGTCCGGCATGGTGGCACACGCCTGTAGTCCCAGCCACTCGGGAGGCTGAGGCACGAGAATCACTTGAACCCGAGAGACAGAGGTTGCAGTGAGCCGAGATCGCACCACTGCGCTCCAGCCTGGGCGACAGAGTCAGACTCTGTCACAAAAAAAAAAGAAAACAGAAAAGAAAAAGAAGAATTTTTTGTTAGGCTGTGTACTACGGTTTTTACTTGCATTTTATTAGTCTCTATAATATTCCAATGAAGTTGGTATTGTTATTCTGCAGATGAAAAAGCAGGTTCAGGTCATCAGGTACATTATCCACTTTGCTATTAATCACTACCCTACAGATCTCTACAGGCATCAGCCTGACTTGTCTAAGGCAGAATGATGACAGTGAATGAGGCTATTACCAATGTCGCCTTCTTTAGTGTTCTAGGCACACTGAGTCTCTTCTCCACTTCTTCATGTCCTGCTTTATCACAGGTCATACTTCAGACTCCACTGCCTTTCTCACCTAAAACCGTCTCTGGGTATTTCTTTTTTTTCCTCCCTTTCTACATAGACATCTGAAATATCAGTACACTAAAAACCAGAGGGCTGATGCAACAGAACATAAAATTTCATTTCAATTTTTTCTTTTCTTTTTTTTTTTTTTTCCCTGAGACAGTGTCTGTCTCTGTTGCCCAGGCTGGAGTGCAGTGGTGTGGTCATAGCTCACTGCAGCCTCGACCTCCAGGACTCAAGTGATCCTCCCTCCATTGCCTCCCAAGTAGGCAGGACTACAGGCATGCACCACCACACTCGACTAATTTTTTTTTTTTTTTTAAAGCATCTCACTACATTGTCCAGGCTGGTCTTGAACTCCTGGCCTCAAGCAATCCTCCTGCCTTGGTCTCCTAAAGTGCTGAGATTATAAGCATGAACCACTGTGTCCAGCCAGGAAAGAACATTTTTTAAATTGTATAATGGCTTACATTTATAATATTTTGTTCTCTAGGACCTGGACCCTTCCCAGGGATCATTGACATCTTTGGTATTGGAGGGGGCCTGCTGGAATATCGAGCCAGCCTCCTTGCTGGCCATGGCTTTGCCACGTTGGCTCTAGCTTATTATAACTTTGAAGATCTCCCCAAGAACATGGACAACATATCCCTGGAATACTTCGAAGAAGCCCTATGCTACATGCTTCAACATCCCCAGGTTCTCCTCATGTCCTTTATTTAATCAGTCTCTCTAAAAATATCTCCATAGAGAGTGTAACCTGTACCATGTGCAGAAATGCTGCTCTGTTTCTCTTTCACAAAGATTTCTTCTGGAGACTTCCTTGGCTTAAGGTGCCCATTTCCACTTTTTCTGTCAGATGAATTTGTGGTATAGAATTAATTGTGAAATCCACGTGAGATTTTATTTAGTAATATTAAATATTATCTGTATATTGCAAATTGAATTTCTAATCTATTGTCTTTGCATGAATTTTTTTTTTTTTTTTTTTTTTTTTTTTTAGACGGAGTCTCGCTCTGTCACCCAGGCTGGAGTGCAGTGGCTGGATCTCAGCTCACTGCAAGCTCTGCCTCCCGGGCTTATGCCATTCTCCTGCCTCAGCCTCCCGAGTAGCTGGGACTACAGGCGCCCGCCACCTTGCCCGGCTAGTTTTTTTTTTTTTTTGTATTTTTTAGTAGAGACGGGGTTTCACCGTGTTAGCCAGGATGGTCTCAATCTCCTGACCTCGTGATCCGCACATCTTGGCATCCCAAAGTGCTGGGATTACAGGCTTGAGCCACCGCACCTGGCCGCATGCTTGTTTTTTATTTTTAATTTCCTGATGTCAGAGTATGTTCTCAGATTTTGGTCAGAACTTGTCCACCCCTTTCAGAAGCCAAGAACGAACTTACTTACTTACTCTGAAGTCTGGCTTTGTAATCATTTGCCAATACATATGGCAAATGATCTGATAAATGATTCACATCTTGGAACAGAACTTGGTTCCACACTATTGGATGCATTGCCACATGAAGACTTCAGTCAGACCTACCTGAATGTGGTCCTGAACTTGATGGGCTCCGTGGCTCAGCATTTTCTAGTGGATAATTCTCTGAAATGTTTATAAATCAGTTTCCAAGGTTTTCAGTGATTTTAAGATTTGTTTACCATGTGTTCAGCCAGATATTCTGCACATGGGAAGAAACTCCCCTGTCAGCTGAGGTTGATTTTCTTGTGGATAATTCCCAGATTAAAGCTAGCAGCATCTCTGTTTGCATTTTAGGAAAATGTTTTTGAACTGGATAAGTTGTTTTTTTTTGTTTGTTTGTTTTTTTTTAAAGACAGAGTCTTGCTCTGTCACCCGAGCTGGAGCACACTGGCGCGATCTCGGCTCACTGCAACCTCTGCCTCTCAGGCTCAAGCAATTCTCCTGCCTCAGCCTCCCGGGTAACTGGGATTAGAGGCGCATGCCACCACACTCTGCTAATTTTTTTTTTTTTTTTGTATTTTTAATAGAGACAGGGTTCTACCATGTTGGCCAGGCTGGTCTCAAACTCCTGACCTCAAGTGATCCGCCCGCCTCCGCCTCCCAAGGTGTTGGGATTACAGGCGTGAGCCACCGCGCCCAGTCTGGATAAATTATTGACTCGATTCTTCTCTCTTCTTTTCTTCCAGGTAAAAGGCCCAGGCATTGGGCTTTTGGGCATTTCTTTAGGAGCTGATATTTGTCTCTCAATGGCCTCATTCTTGAAGAATGTCTCAGCCACGGTTTCCATCAATGGATCTGGGATCAGTGGGAACAAAGCCATCAACTATAAGCACAGTAGCATTCCACCATTGGGCTATGACCTGAGGAGAATCAGGGTAGCTTTCTCGGGCCTCATGGACATCGTGGATATAAGGAATGATCTCGTAGGAGGGTATGAGAACTCCAGCATGATTCCAGTAGAGAAGGCCCAGGGACCCATCCTGCTCATCGTCGGTCAGGATGACCATAACTGGAGGAGTGAGTTGTATGCCCAAAAAGTCTCTGAACGGTTACAGGCCCATGGAAAGGAAAAACCCCATATCATCTGTTACCCTGGGACTGGGCATTACATCGAGCCTCCTTACTTCCCCCTGTGCCCAGCTTCCCTTCACGAATTAGTGAACAAACATGTGATGTGGGGTGGGGAGCCCAGGGCTCATTCTAAGGCCCAGGTAGATGCCTGGAAGCAGATTCTAGCCTTCTTCTGCAAACACCTGGGAGGTACCCAGAAAACAGCTTTCCCTAAATTGTAATGCATTTGTCTATTGCTGACATGAGAGATTCAGATCAGGTTCTAGTGTTCAGTAACCCTATGTGAATCAGCTGTCTCCTGGATAACATTAAAGCCATGTCCTTGTCATTAGTGGTGTATTTTACGTAACTTTATTGAATAAGCTTTGTCATTAGTTTTACTAATGTAACTTGCTTGTTGTAGAAGATTAAGAGGCGTATGACACATATAAGTGAAAAGCATTCCCACCAGTTAACATTTGTGTTTCCTTCTAGATTTTTTTAGTTAATGCTTTAAGTCATAGGTGAGCTTTAAAGCTGGTGACTTTTTCCATCACTGTGAAAGAATGGTCACCTAATGTTTGCTGTTCAACCTTCAGTAGCAGGGTAGAATTTTCTTTGGCCAGAAACATACAGAGGGGTGTTAATATGAGGAAATGCAGCTGATCTTTTCATTATAAAGGTCAGAGAAGAATTCTTTGACAGGAGGAGATGAGACCTGTCTCTAGAATAGTTAAGTCTATACTCTCTTCCAAGGGTGAATGACTACGATCTATTTTCCCTCTCACTTCCTGTCTCTAAGAGCAGACCTTGGGGCAGAGTACAGTGGCTCACACCTATAATCCAGTACTTTGGGAAGTCAAAGTGGGCAGATCGCTTGAGCTCAGGATTTCATGACCAGCCTAGGCAACATGGCAAAACCCAATCCCTACAAAAATTAGCCAAACATGGTGCACACCTGTAGTCCCAGCTACTCGAGAGACTGAGGTGGGAGGATTGCTTGAGCCCAGGAGGTCAAGGTTGGTGCAGTGAGCCATGATTGCATCTCTGTACTCTAGCCTGGGCAACAGAGTGAGACCTTGTTTCAAAAAAATAGACCTTGGAAAATCATACTGTGGTAATCCTGGAGGAATCATTCCTTTCTCTCCTTGATATCAACACTATGTAGCATTTATTATTATTATTATTTTTTTTTGAGACAGAATCACTTTGTTGCCCAGGCTGGAGTACAGTGACACGATCTCAGCTCACTGCAACCTCTGCCTCCTGGGTTCAAGCAATTCTCCTGCCTCATCCTCCTAAGTAGCTGGGACTACAGGCATGTGCCACCACGCCTGGCTAATTTTTGTATTTTTAGTAGAGACGGGGTTTCACTATGCTGGCCGGGCTGGTCTCTAACTCCTGACCTCAAGTGATCCACCTGCCTCAGTCTCCCAAATTACTGGGATTACAGGCATAAGCCACTCGCCCGGCTTACCTAGCATTTAATATAAGTGTATTTGAAAAGATAATGACTGAGAAATTTCCAAAACTGATGTAAAAGACATCAAGCCACATATTCAAGAAGAACTGTAAATGCCAGGCAGAATAAATACAAAGACAAACCATGCTTATCACAGTAAAACTGTTTATGGTAATTTTATTATTTATTTATTTATTTATTTATTAGTATTATTTTTTTGAGATGGAGTCTCGCTTTGTCGCCTAGGCTGGAGTGCAGTGGCACAATCTCGGCTCACTGCAAGCTCCGCCTCCCGGGTTCATGCCATTCTCCTGCCTCTGCCTCCCGAGTACCTGGTGGTGCCCGCCACCATGCCCGGCTAATTTTTTGTATTTTTAGTAGAGACAGGGTTTTGCCATGTTAGCCAGGATGGTCTCGATCTCCTGACCTCGTGATCTGCCCGCCTGGGCATCCCAAAGTGCTGGGATTACAGGCGTGAGCCACCATGACCGGCCATTATTTATGTATGTATTTGAGACAGAGTCCTGCTGTGTTGGCCAGGCTGGAGTGCAGTGGCACAATCTCAGCTCACTGCAAGCTCTGTCTCCCGGGTTCAAGTGATCCTCCTGCCTCAGCCTCCCAAGTAGCTCAGACTATAGGCATGTGCCAGCACACCCAGCTAATTTTTGTATTTCTTTTTCTTTCTTTCTTTTTTTTTTTTTCTGAGACAGAGTCTCACTCTGTAGCCCAGGCTGGAGTGCAATGGTGCGATCTCAGCTCACCACAACCTCCGCCTCCTGGGTTCAAGCAATTCTCCTGCCTTAGCCTCTCGAGTAGCTGGAACTACAGGTGCCTGCCACCATGCCTGGCTAATTTTTCTATTTTTAGTAGAGACAGAGTTTTACCATATTGGCCAGGCTGGTCTCAAATTCCTGACCTCGCGATCCATCCGCCTCAGCTTCCCAAAGTGCTGGGATTACAGGCATGAGCCACCGCACCTGGCCTTGTATTTATTTAGTAGAGATGGGGCTTCGCCATATTGGCCAGGCTGGTCTTGAACTCCTGACCTCAAGTGATCCACCTGCCTCAGCCTCCCAAAGTGCTGGGATTACAGGTGTGAGCCACTACACCAGGCTTGTTTATGGTAATTTTAAAACATAGCTGTAAATTCATTGGCATTTCCCTCATCAAGAGATGGGAGACCTACGTCCCCTCCCTTCAAATCTGGATGAACTTGTGACTATTTCAGTCAGTAGAGCAGAGCGGCAGTGATGCTACCTGACTTTGCAGGCGAGGTCATATAAGGCCATGAGGATTCCACCTTGTTTGCCAGGAACACCTGCCTTTGGAACTTGAGCCACTATGTAAGAAGTTTGGGCCAGGCGCCGTGGCTCATGCCTATAATCCCAGCACTTTGAGAGGCCGAGGAAGGCAGATCACCTGAGGTCTAGAGTTCGACACCAGCCTGACCAACATGGTGAAACCCCATCTCTACTAAAAATACAAAAAATTAACCAGGTGTGGTGTCGGGTACCTGTAATCTCAGCTACTCAGGAGGCTGAGGCAGGAGAATCTCTTGAACCTGAGAGGCAGAGGTTGCAATGAGTCAAGATCACACCACTGCACTCCAGCATGGGCAACACAGCGAGACTGTCTCAAAAGAAAAAAACCAAAAGAAGTTTGACAACCTTGAGGATGTGATGCTGTGATGCTGTGAGGAAGCTTAAAATACATGTATAAGCCAACCACAGGCACTCCTGTGACAGTCTCAGTTGTGGTCAGCATCTCAGTTATCTCAGCCCAAGTGCCAAACATAAGAGTGAAAAGCACCTCCAGATCATTCTAGCCCCCAGCCATTTAAATCTCAGTGGAGACTTCACATAACCTCCACTGAGCAGTGACGTCCCTCTCAAGCCCTGTCCAAACTGCAGATTTGTGAGCAAAATAGATCGTTTTTGTTTTATGTGACTGTTTTCAGGTGTGTTTCAGTTATCTATTGTTGTGTAGCAAACACCCTAAAACAGCAGCTTAAAACACTAACCATGTATTTTTCTCAGGAGTCTGCAAATGGGACAGGACTTGGTAGGAATGGATCACCACTGTTCCAAGTGGCACGGGCTGGGGCAATTTGACTGAGGAGTTGAAACTCAGCCCAAGTAATTAGCAAGAAGGCCCAGATGGAGAGAAACTGAGAACCCCTAAATCATATCCCTTCCTGAGTTCCCAATTGACAGCCAGCACCAACCTCCCTGCCATAAAAGTAGAGTCTCCAAGCGTGAGCACACCAAGTAAGGCAGACTTGCATTGACCTTTGTTCAGCTTTGTCTTGGAAGCTATTATAGGTACTATCAGTCTGCCATGCTCTATTGAACAAGGCAGTCAAAGGCTAACCAAAGTTCAAGGAGAACATAGTCTGCCTCTTGAAAGAAGAGTGGAAAGGTTCTGGAGAAGAGCATGTGGAATGGGAAATAATTGTAACCATCTTTGGAAAATAAGTCTGCCTTCTGGCCATACATTCCTCCACGTGTAAAATACACCCATCTCTCTTCTAAACCCTCTCCCTGCAAAATCCCTCATTTCATTATAGCATCACACTCAGGCTGAAGGTCCAAGATTTCATCATTTATATCAGATCCAGGTATAGATGAGGCTCAGAACAGTCCCTTGGGTATAGCTCCTTGAATAGCATTCTTCTCAATCTGAACAGCTTTGAAACAAACAAGTTAGCTATCCTCGCAGAAGCATGTTCATAATACAATGGTGGGAGAAGTGTAAGATAACTCCTATAGACACTTCTGTTCAAAAATGGGGAAAATGTGGCACACAGCTGTCACTAGCCTGTAGCGACTCTGAAACACACCTGAGAACATGCTGCCAATTCCTTCATTAGCGTTCAATTTACTCTCTGTGAGTTGCTCTCTGTAGCTTTTGGTTCTGCCTCCTGAGTCGAAACCTTTATTTTCCATAAGAAAATGAATTAGCGATTAAATTAACCTGCCTCCTACATGGAAAAGGGGAGTTCAAAGTTCTCTTTTAATTTTGTATTCTCTACCTTTTAAGTTCCAGCTCACAGTGGAACTGGAGTTTTCTTCAGCCAGAACAATTTTCTTTTTTTTTTTTTTTCTGAGACTGAGTTTTGCTGTTGTTTTCCAGGCTGGAGTGCAATGATGTAATCTCAGCTCACTGCAACCTCTGCCTTCCGGGTTCAAGCGATTCTCCTGCCTCAGCCTCCCAAGTAGCTGGGATTACAGGCACCCACCACCACGCCTGGCTAATTTTTGTATTTTTAGTAGAGACAGGGTTTCACCATGTTGGCCAATCTGGTGTCGAACTCCTGACCTCAGGTGATCCACCTGCCTAGGCCTCCTAAAATGCTGGGATTACAGGCATGAGCTACTGCACCCAGCCAGCCAGAACAATTTTCTTAAAAACTTTGTGGGGTTTTCTAAAAATCTCAGTGGGTTTCACTCCACTAGACAAAATACACCTCTAGAAATCTGTTTAAGAACTTCTTGGCCAGGCGTGCTGGCTCACGCCTGTAGTCCCAGCACTTTGAGAGGTCAAGGTAGCGGATCACCTGAGGTCAGGAGTTCGAGACCAGCCTGGCCAACATGGCGAAACCCCTTCTCTACTAAAAATACAAAAATTAGCCGGGTGTGGTGGTGCATGCCTATAATCCCAGCTACTTAGGAGGCTGAGGCAGGAGAGTTGCTTGAACCCAGGAGGTGGAAATTGCAGTGAGTGGAGATTGTACCACTGCACTCCAGCCTGGATGACAGAGCGAGACTCTTCTCCAAAAAAAAGAAAATGACAATTAAATGCAATCTTTTTGTAAATGTTTAAATGGCCCATCAGGTAAATGTACCTGAAGCTTTGACTGTCTTCCCAAAAATATGGATGTGACAAACCAA